TGGTTGCATACTGCTGCTGCTTCTGAGATCACTCTTGCTCTCCTGAGTTGGAACTGCTACCTGAAATCCCCAAATAGCATCCTGCGCCGTCGCAACAGCTACAGTCCTTCCATCTCTCAGTATGTCAAACTTCTGGTTTCACTGTTAAACTCAATAGCAAACCCTTGCTCAAAGGCAAGTCCCGGAGAAAACGAGCCATACTCTGCGTCAGGAATGTACAACACTCCATCGATATATGTTACCACTTGTTCTCCGTCTACCTCTGTCATCAACGCCACTGTTCCCATTCCTGCAATTCTTGAGGCAATGGTTGGCGTAACACCTCGGATATTCTGCAAGTTATCCGAGTCCGCCGTGTATGACACAAACTCAGCGAAATTACCCGTGACGTGCGAGTCGGAAGCCGTATCCAAATACCACCACCCGCCATTAAGCCGTCCAGTTTCTTGATCGCTGTCTATCAGATGTGCTTCACCACTATCTGCCTCAGGATCACTTAATGGGTCTTCGTCACTCACTGTTTCGCCGTCACTCACGACTCCATGACTACGTGCATCTTCAACATGATTTTCAGCTTCTCGAGCTTCATCTTCATCCACGGATTCATCCTGTCCATGTGCTTCACCGCGTCCTTGAGGGTCTTCATGGACTTCACGTAACTGCCCAAGTCCTGCTACGACACCCTCATCCTGTTCACGGTCCATTTGCACAGGCATAGTTATCTCCTGTCGCACGGTGTAGTTACTCCGTGGCTTGCGCTTCTTGTCAGCGCTTCAACCATTCTCCTGCACCTTTGACTTATCAGGACAATTCACCCGCAGATGGTCTTCACTGCCGCAGGAATAACACTTCCGGGCACTCTTGAATCCACCAACTTTGTCCTCCTGAGAACTCCCTTTTCTCTCGAATGCTTTTCCACTTCCTCCTCTCTGGATACCCTTCTTGTCACTACGCTTTCCTCGGAACTCTCTCTGCCGAGCTGCTGCTGCGAGAATCAGCTCCCTCACCTTCTTAGGTGAGTACACACTCGGATCCGCTCCATAGTAAAAAGATTTCAAATGTTCGAACTCAACTTGATCAGGCAAACTCTCCAGTAGCATATCCACCATTGTGGTGTCTGCAACGGTATCATTCAAGTCGGCCAACTCAGTCTTGAGGTTGAACATCTTACAGAGGTGAAGATTAGCATCACTTCCAGGGGTAAGCTTCGCGTTCCAAAACTCGTTCTCTACGCGACGAATCGTATATGCCTTGATCGCTTCGTTCTGCTTTCCTTCATACAGACTACACAGCTCCCTCCACATTTCCGATCCGGTCTCCTTGTCGCGTATTTGGTGCAGCACGTCTGCCGGTACTGAAATACCAATTAAGCGCATGATCTTCAATTGCTTCTTCTCAAATTCCTCTTTCTTCTCCGCACTCGCGGTAGAAAGCATCGCCTTGGTCAATTCACCGACCGCGATGGCTTTGAGATCTTGCTCTTTGAAGACATTCATCAACGCCCACTTATACGTCTGCCAATCCTTGCCGTTCCAGTTTTTCGGCACTCCTTCACTCGAGTATTTCAGCGGCTTCGTCTTTGGGCTCATAGCCCTATTGGAACTCCGTTCCGTGAACACACTTCTGACCGCTTAGACTCTTGGAAGGTAAAATGAAGACTGAATTATTTAAGTGCTAGCGCTGCTCTCCCAGAGCTCCTACCAACACTAACGGATTCAACCCCGTTCTCATACAATGACCTGGCCCAACTGATTCTCATCTCGTGTACCAACACTTCATTGTGCCTGGTCCCCAATTCGTATTCCAACAGTACTTCTAGAAAAAGCTCAGGCTCGAGCTGCGAACCCGGACGGAACGTCTGTGTTATTTGCTGGAATTTTTGTCGAAAAATGTCCTTAATTGTAATTTGAATTATAATTAACGAACGGAGGGAGGTCCGCCAGATCATCTAACCGAACGGAGCAGGTAGAACCTCGTTAGGCAGGTGACGATTGCGCTCCAGGGCCGAGGCCATGAGCGTCGGCGTTGTAGGTGGTGTGATAGGTTGGATGTCAGCTGCGGCTGCCACGAACTGCGCCGTGCTCTGTTCCATCTCAGGGGCAGCTTCCACCGCCGCTTTGACGCGCTCAGCTACGTCGCTCCAGCGCACGTGCGCGAGTACCAACGTATAGCTGCTCACTTTAAAGAACTCCATGCTGAGTACACCCACCCAGAGCGCGGGGAATCCGTAGCCCAACGTAATACCGCCTATGTAGGCCACCGGCAGATTGATGAACCACGTGGCAATTGCACTAGTCCAGAACACAGTGTGAGCTTGGCTGGACGACGCAAATTTTTGGCGACTGATGAGAAAATCGGCAATGAAAAGATCTCTGATGAGGCCATTTGCAGTAGTGGTACGCACCTCATTCCAGTCAGAGCTCCAGCACCAAGAATCTCCACGGCCTCAAAGGCGCAAGCAACGACGAAAATGGGCAGTACAAGCTTGCAAGTGGTTAAGAGATCTGTGTCCGTCGTGTATAACGCTATAATGTGCTGATCCATGAGGCTGGTGGCCGCCGCGATAAGTACGACGACTACCATCGTGCAGATAAAACCTAAGCCAGTGATACGACGCGCCAAGTCCGGTTTGCCCGCACCTAAGTAATTGGCGACGCGGGCCTGCGTGGCACAGCCGTATCCCCAGAAGAGCGCCCAAAGCAGCCCCCACAGACTTGAAATGACAGCATTAGCAGCGATAATTCGAGCTCCAAGTCTTGCTGCTACTAGGGCTACTAGTGCACTGGCCAAGTTGGATACGAAGCTGTTGCTGGAAATCGGTCCAGCCACCCTTAGATAAGATCGCAGTCGGTTAAGCGTGAGCGCGTGGATGTTCCAGCCGTACCAAGCGCGGCGATGGTGATGCTTATAGAGAATAGCGAAGCTGAAGAGCGCAATCGGCTGGAACCAGGATGCCAACACGGTTGCAGTGGGTGACCCGGTGAAGCCCAAGCCATTCCAGGAGCCAATGCCATAGATTAGAACGTAGTTACTGCCAGTGGCCACGAAAATTGAAACCACCCCGACTACGGTGGTGGGTAGCAGAATTCCCATCGCTTGTAAATACTGTCTGGTAAACAAGCGCAAGAATGTCAAACAGAGGCCAGTAATTCCCTCATTGCTTCGTTCACGTGAGGCCAAACCTGAGGCAACAGTAGAGAAGTGAAGGAAGGATTGATCCGAAGATCACGCGTGAGAATGTGGTGGCAAGTGCGATGAGCTCCTGGTCGTCTGTAGAGTACTCGAGGATGTAGCCAAAACACTAGTACCAAATAGCGACCGGAATCGAAAGCAATGTGGTGATCGCCACCCCAAATTGCAGCCAGATCCCTCTAAGCTCTCGGTTGCCTGCCAGGGATGCCGAATATTGCATTTTTATCTATTGCTAATCAAAGCAGAAAATAAATAATTGGGTTAGAGAGCTGACTAGACCAGAATAGATTATTGAACTTCCTCAGCTCAAACAATAGATTATTGGTGCAGCAAAATTGGTACACAGCGAGGGCACCAGTATCAAAGAATGTATGGCCAATTAAACACCGCCCAATAGATTATTGGTGCTACAACGGGAGCGAAAATTAATAATTGATCTTCCTCTCCAGAAAGTCTCCAATAGATAATTGGTGCTTTCTTATTTACCGCCTCCTAAACTTGCAGCCTGTCCGTCTGTTAATAAGTCCGTCCGGTTCCTTTCTTGCTGCTTTTTCCTGCCTTTTCGCATGGCTACACTTAGCCTGTCTAATATATTTTCGTCCCATCTTACCGACCGCGCCTACCTTTCTGACTCGACTTAGCTATGCCAAAATTACAAATATGACCAAAAAGCGGACACAATTAACTCGCGCCCTGATTGGGCAATACCTGCCGACCTGCGACACTGACTGGATCTGTCGCACGATCAGACCGTCTATCGCCCTCGCGATTGGACGTAAGGTAAACATTTTCTGCCCAGAACGAAACGCATCCGATTGGGCTGCAAACAG